TCAGCCACTTGTAACAACACAGATGGACCCTGAGAGCATTATGCTAAGTGAAATTAGTTGGAAAGAGAAAGACAAATATCATATAAGCTCACTTATATGTGGAATCTAAAACAAAAGAAGAAAGAAAAAACTAAACTCGTAGAAAAAGAGATGAGATGTGTAGTTACCAGAGGCAGAGGGTGCAGGGAGGGGGAAGTGGATGAAGGTGGTCAAAAGGTACAAACTTCCAGTTATAAGATAAATAAGTGCTAGGGATGTGATGGACAATATGGTGACTGTAGTTAACACTATTACATGGTATATAGGAAAGTTGTTAAAAGAATAAATCCTAAGAGTCTTCATCACTAGGGAAAAAAACATTTTTTTTCTCTTTTTATCTATGAGATAATGGATGTTCACCAAACTTACTATGGTAGTCATTTCACAATATATGTAAGTCAAATCGTTATGCTGTCAATTGTCTCAGTAATACTGGCAGGCAGAGCGGCAGGGGGATGGGGAGTGAGAAGGGAAAATAATAAAATACAAATGTAAGATATCACTTTTCACCCAATAGGTTGGCAAAATTTTAAAGTCTGATGATACATTAAGCAAAAGTGTAGAGAAAAATAATTCGCAACCACTGTAGAAAAATAAATTTATATGATCTTTTTGGAGAGCAATTAAGCAGTATCTATCAAAACATTAAATGCCCATTGCCTTTGTCCCAGTAATTCCACTTCTGGGAATTTCATCATATATAAAATTACATGAGAATATTCATTGTCACCTTTGGATAGTGCAGACCTGGGAACTACATAAATATTCTTCAATAGAGAACTGGCTATGTAAAGTATACACCCAATTTTATGTAGTGGTTTAAAACAAATGTGAATTTTATGTAGTGGTTTAAAACAAAGGTGAATTTTATGTAGTGGTTTAAAACAAAGGTGAATTTTATGTAGTGATTTAAAACAAATGTGAATTTTACGTAGTGGTTTAAAATAAATCTGAATTACCCGCATTGGCCCAGAAAGACATCCATAACAGATTAAAGGGGAAAAAAGGTGCAGAACTGACTGAGTATACAGTATACTCTATTTGTCTAGAGGGGAAACAAATCCTTACTTCTATATTCTGTTGTTGATGTTTATATCCAGCAGGTACTAATTTTAGAGAAAACTAAATTAAAGAAATACAATGATGAGTTCTCTAGAAAGGCAAAAAATATTATAGTGCTGCTGCTGCTGCTGATTCCATGACAATAGGTAGTGACTTCTTTAAGAGACTAGATTATCCCACTATGTCTAATTTTTTTCCCTTTATTTTAGCAGGGATATATCTGTACCAAGTAGATCATCTTGATTTCATCTGGGTAAAAATAAAATCCTACCTAACAACCCTTCACCCAACATACAATTCTGTATCTTGCTTTCTAAAATGGTTAAGTCTGAAACCTAAGAATATAAACCCACTTCTCGTTTATTTGTTCACTCATTCAACAGCATGATTACTGTGGACTAATAACACTGTAAGAAATACCGACTATAAAGACAAATGAAACAGCCACCAAGGCTGGCCAAAGCAGTCAGTAGAGCCACGATGAAGTCTTGGACAGCTGTTTCTGGGAGAAAAGGAGAATTCTACACTCTTCAACTGCAACAAGTGCCAAGTAACATCTACCCCTTCCACTACCCCAAAGGGGGTTTCTGAGATGCAAGAGCCCATTCCTTTTCAGTCCATTGTCCTGGGTCTGAGAGGAGACCATGGCGCAGGGAGCAACCCGGAGATCTGAGGAAGTCCGGGCCAGAACACCCAGTCCAGGCACTGAGGCCCCTACATTCTAGTCTTTGGTTAGCCTGTGCATAGACACAGTGAATGAAGACTTTTAGGACTTTACAAAATGGACTCCATTGGGAGCCATGACAGTAATATCAACTGGCAAACAACCAAGTCACATGATGGGAACACCCTTAGGGTGTGACCTGAAGGTCCAAAACCAAAGAAGCCCAAAATGACAGAAACATCACAGCCATGTCACAGCCACAATGGTGGAAAAGAGCCACACAGCTGCCAGGACTGATAACTGAAGAACTCTGCCCACTGAGGGCTATATAAGCCAAGCACTAAGCCTGACCAGAACACACTGTGAAGGTAATGCTACAGCTGAAGACACAGACTTCCTGCCCATTGTGCCACTGGCTTGGAGGGACTAAGGATGTCCAGGCCGCCAGTTCCACAGCCCACTTCAAGACTCCAAGAACGCAGAGGGCTTTTACGCTATCGCTCTGTCACATAAGCCTCTGTACTCCCCCTTCTCTGCATGTTGTGTGTTTGCCTGCATGAGTATCTGCTTGGTTTATCTAAGAAGGTTCTACTCAATAAACCTAGCATTGTGGAAAGACACAAACATGCCCAAGGTGTTACTCCGATAGCTGCCTTCCTTGCTTGCGACAGATAGCTCCTCTGGGGGAGCGGGTAATGGTCTAGGAGCCTCACCAGGCTTAGCCCAACCTGCTGAGCCTGCTAATATACAGGGGCAGGGAGGGATGCCCTCTCCAGACTTCATGTTTTTACCAGTTATGCCTTAAAACAGTGGTCTCAAACCTTTTTGGCACCAAGGACTGGTGCTCCTATGAGACTCTAATGCCTGATGATCTGAGGTGGAGCTGAGGTGGTGATGCTAGCGCTGGGGAGCGGCTGCAAATATAGATGAAGCTTCACTTTGCTCGCTCGCCTGTGGCTCACCTCCCATACACAACGTGTGGCCCAATTCCTAACAGGCCACAAATCGGTACCAGTCCACAGACCAGGGATTGGGGACCCCTACCTTAAAAGACATTTTCCCCCCTCTGCCCGTCAAAAACACAGAAGAAACTTACAACTTGCTCAACATCATGATCTCAAACTAAATTGTACTGCATAAACAACGTAAAATATAAGTACATAAAACTATTAACCACAATCACAATTTTGAAATGTTTTATTCATAGCAGCTACTCACATCTTTTATAAACGATGCATCACCACCTGCAAGCTAACTTTACATTCACGATAAATTAGCAACTCTCCAATATTCAGATATTTTCAAAACTCTATCTCACCCAGTATATTAAATAATAGTTCCATGTCCCAATGGAAAAGCAAAGGGCTTGTCCTCAGACAGACCTAGGATTAAATCCTTCCCACAAATTAACCTCTCCATCTCAGCTTTCTGTCTGTTAAAGGGGGATGGTGATTAAATGAAGTGACATAGAAGTTCTCTTCTACATACCAAGTATAAATAAGTTAGCTTTCAAATAGATCCAAAGTTTGATTTATTACAGACTTTGAGTCAATATACTGTTAACAGTGAACAAGTACTCAACAGTTACTTTTATCATCATAAACCGGCCATTACAAATTTCCTCCATTTCAGAATAATTAACTTAAATTCTTTCTAAAAATAATCCTAAATTTAAAAGTGAGACTACAAGTAAAACTGCTGATATAGAGTTGTGTATATAACTGTCCACAAAATATTAAGTAAAAATATGAAGTAAAAAAATATTAAGTAAAAAAAAAAAAAAGACCTGATCCTATATTTGTAAAAATAATACATATATGTACACATACACAAAACTCACATATACCTACACACATTCCATTCACGATAAATTAGCAACTCTCCTCACAATAAATTACAACATACTGGTAGAAGGAAAATGGCTGGGGCATTCATTTGGTGGCTTTAATTTTTTCTTTATACTTTTCTATATTCCCCTTGCCTCATGGCAAATTTGTTTTGTATAATGAGCATGTGTTATTCTTATAACAGAGCTTTAGACAGATTAATTGGCTGACATAGTTCTACTAGACATTTATAGGGCACCAAACACATCTCCAAGATGGGAATTCTACTGAAAGTCACAATTTTGGCTACACCATTCTCTGTATATACAATACTCTACAAAGTGTTTTCACAATCCGATGAGGCAGGACTTATTCCACTTGGCAATGAGGAATCTGAAGGTCAAGGAGTCCAAGACTCATCTGCCATGACCCACAGCCTGGCAATGGCAGAGAACACAACCACGGGTGCCCCAGCCTCCACCCCAGCCGGCTTCCGACCACTCGCCTAGTCATGTGAGATTAGTGCTGGCCATTAAAAATCATTCAAACACCTCAATCTTAGGCTGGGTTTTGTAAATAAAAGTTTGAACAGTTTAAAGAAGTCCTCTCAAGCATTTTCCAAAAACATTTACTATTTTGCTATCTTAGATACTCAGCTAAAAATGTAAAAGCTAACTGTGAACTTCATAAATGTACATTCATAAATCTCTTTCAACATACATATCTCTTGTACAGTACATCTCAAAAATCTCTTCACAAAATTTCTTCAGTTTTGGGGACTTTTAAAACAAATAACTAACACTAAAAGAAACAAAAATATCACTAAAAGAAACAAAAATATCTCCTAAAAGGGCCAAGAACTTATAAAAACTTTCCTTTGTATCTAACCAGTATTATTTTCTCCACTTACTTATCTCAATGAAAAAGACACCCTACAGACCACCAGTCCCACCCAGAATTTCTACTGAAAGGCATCATTTTCACAAAATGTTACATTGCCTTATTTTTGAACTTTACCAGACTTCTGTGTTAACAAACTTTCATATGCTTAAGAAGAGCAGCTTCATTTTATAGCAACATTTTCAAAATATGTGGAATAAGGTACAGATTTTTTTAAAAAGAGGAGAAAGATCCTTTTTTGTCTGATTTGCATTTAAAAAAATTTCTCTCTACAAAGGCTTATAAAATAACCTGAAAATAAGAAGCAATAAACCCAACATTATCCACTATGGACTTAATCTCTGGAGAAGTCACCTTAACTCCCAGCTCAGTGCTATATTCAGACTGTTACTTCCCACCCCAGACCTGTACCCCTGACCCCTTCTATATAAGGCAAGGGAGAAACCTCCATCTAGAAACCAGACCCAAACCCCCTCTTGGCTTTTTAGGCCTTCTGCAATTGCACTGACCTGATTGGAACTGATTTCCCGTGTTCCATTCAAAACCTTCTGGGAAAATTCTCCCTCTTCTAATGGAAGAGAGCCTTCCTCCTCCAAAGGCGCTGGTCTGGTGGAGTCACTGGCCCCAGGGCTCCTCCTGAAGGACCATCGCTTGTAGACAGACAGCAGGGTCACCCGTGAGTCACCCAGAGTCGCCAGGAAGGACTGCTTAGGGCTCGCGGGCATCTCACCCCCAGCTTTCTCCATTGCTGTGTCTACAGTCACACCTTCACCCCCACTAAAGCAGTTCACCTTTGCTAGACTAGGTCACCTTAGAAAAAATGCTTTAAGTGTCCTCTTAACTAGCAGCGAGCAGGGAAGGCTCCTTCTGTGCTCAGTACTGCAGGCTCCCCGCTGCTCCTGAGCCAGCCCAGGAGAGGCTGTGGCCGAACTTGCGAGTCCTCAGTCTGGCAGCAGCTCTGGGAGCTCAGAGTGCACACCGCTGTATACATATTTGCTCTTGTTTATCTACACCTTTCCAACCAATTGGCACCCTCTCACTCATCACACTGCATTCAGCACTGGGAACCTTTGCACACAGCCCGCACAAGCCCTCACTCAGGGCTGCCAGGACACCTAGAGGCAAGTGCCAGAGCCAAGGGAATCATTTCCCAAAGCTGAGCAAGGTTTCCTTTTGGCCACGTGCACTCCCAGAAACCCAGCCTAGAGGCAGGGGAGAAACGCCACTTTTTATTACCAAACTTCAGGCACTTTCCTGGAATAACTTCAGCTGCCTCTTCCATAGTTCCAATGCTAGCGATGTGCAGAGCACTAGCGGGGAGGATTTCCTAGACAACATGACTTGCATTTTCAAAAAGGTGCAAGAAAGCACCATGTTTCCTGCAGCTTTGTTTTCCTTTGATCCAACAGCTTGATCAGTAAGAACTGACTGCAGAAACTCACTGGATAACAAGGCTTATCCGTGTTTTATATGTGGTATAACAGCCATGAACTAACAACACACCATTCAGGTTTCTCGGGCTACTCACTGTTCCACAGGAGGATTAAGAGTGCACGCAAGACAGCATGGTAATCCCAGCAGCCTCTTGCTCTGTAAGCAGCACTGCCTCCCTTCCCACCCCCACCCCCTCACAGACAAGGGGAAGGAGGTGCCCTCGTCCCCCATGGGAGGAACAACTCAACTAGCCACTAATCCTGGCAACACCTCCTGAGGCAAGTTTGCGTGGAGTGTCCACACTACAGACAGAATCGAGAGGGTTAGTAAGACAGTCACTCTGTGTGTCCTTCTGCATTACCCAACACCCACCCCCAACAAGGTGCCACTGCAGGCGCATGGGTGTTACAAAGGCGTGCACCCAGTGAGGCGCATCCCCTTCTGCTCAAGGCACTGAGGACTCTGACTCCTTAGGGGGTATCTACAATGACCCTTTCTCCCCATTGAAACTGCCATCGCTGCCCCCAAGAACTCCTGACCATGAAATCTGTTCTCTCTGAGGGAAGGCAGCCTCATCACCGGTCCATTCACCACAGGCCCTTGGAGATTCTTCGCTATTCTTCTACTGTGTGGGGATGTGACCATATTTGCTCCCACTTCTGAAATACCCTCAGGGCAGCCAACTCCAGAATGTGTCCAGGCTGGCTTCCTACCTTCCATGTGCTGGGTCAGAAAAGAGCCTGCCTCCACTTCCAAGAAACGCCATTCAAATCACTGACCCAGAAAGAGAGGTTTGGCGCCAAGGGCTTGGGCTCCAACTCTACACGGCAGCCAGCAGAGACAAGCCTGGTGTAGCTGTGATTTCCTTCTCATTGTTAACTCTCACTGCTCACCCATGGCCTTGCTATTTCTTGATAGGATCTGTCAGGATCTATGGATGGATGCCTGCTGACCGTCTCACATTTCCTTGAGTGGGTTTTCCAGATACCTGAGGCTTATCTCTTTAAGCACCAGACTTTTTTTAAAACTTTGCCATTTGGGGTGGCAATCCTCCGCAAAGGTATCATTTATCTTCCTGCTGCCTTTAAAAATATGAGTTACTATCCATATTTCAACTTTTCCTTGGCAATATGAGATCAATATAAATAGAAATGCTTCTCCTGTGCCATAGCTATGCATGGTTAATAAGGAAAGTACGTTGCACCATAAGTTCCAAGTGCTTTTGAGTAGACTATCCTGTTAGTGAACTATGAACTATGGAAAATGTAAATACTTTACTATAAAATACTTTACTTCTCCTACATGGTCGCTCAGACTCAGAACACAATCAGGAATTAGAGGCTGGAGCCAGGTTATAAATGAAGTTTAGACTTTGTCCTATGGACAGTGGAGAATCATCAGGAATTTTTAAGCAGAGGACTTACCTGACTATATTTGTGATTTAGAAATACAGCTTGGGCAGGCAAGACCATGGAGACTCAGAGGAAGGGGAATTATAGTGTTATAGAAGCAAAGAACAGTAATAGTAGAGTGGAATTAAACAAATGAGGTGGTCCTCCAGGCGCAGCGATCAAGTGAACACAGTAGGTGAAGCAAAGAGAGGACCTGAGGATGACAGTGCCATTTCCAGTTCGGCAGAGATGAGGAGGAATGGGCAGGGCAGGCGCAGGGAGCACATCTAGGGTGAAAACGGGATTCTCCTCTGTTCTAGAATCCTGGGAAACAGCCAGGGCGGAAGCCACTTTCCCAGGCTAGAGAATCGAGTCCAAGCTCCTCCTAATGTCACCTTCCCCTTTCCTCACACCTGACCCCTAGGTTTCCGCCCCTCCCTATCTAATCCTCCTTATCCTTTAAATCCTGCTTCTCCTCGGAGGCTCCTCCATCCCAGCTCTTCCTTCTCTGGATTCCACTATCACTAAGGTCAAGGCCGTGGGCTGGCAGCCTTCACTGATATTGGAGGACAAGTCTTCTCCCTCCACGGCAGCTGCACTCCGCTTAGGCCGTACTAGCACTGACGCCTAGCATGCAGTCAGCATCATGAAACCTGGCAAGCTCCTGGAAGACAAGGTTCTTACTTCTTATCGGCCAACAAACCTAACAGGTGAACAAACATCAGACGTTAAATAAATACTTGCTCAGCTAAACTACAGAAAGAAGAGAATGTGCTTTCTACCTAGAATTTCAAGGTGCTTTTTGTCCCCCTTATCACCATGCAAGGGCAAACTCCATTAGTCTCACATATTCCTCTAAATTATTCCACTAAATTACTTTGCCTCCCACATGTGCAAATTTTATCAGCCATTTCCAAAATAAAATTCATCTCGTTTATCTCCTATCCACCTTCCCAGTCTCTTTATAAAAATAAAAATCCCTTTGGTGTCTAAACAACCCTGTTGCCACCTGAGAAGCTGGGGCCCAAAGCAGATGGGCAGCTCATGTTTCCATGAGCCTCCAGGACAAAGGACCCTGTTTGGAGGAGGGACAACTAGTTCAAATATTTCAACACTCAACAAAGATCACCTGCTCAGGGCAGCTCGAGGTGCACACTGGGTGGGGCTTATCAGAAGAAAACATTGGGCCAGTGCTCCCAGCACGGGCAGAGGAGCCAGGGTCCTGTGACAGGGCAGGACGACAGAACCTGACACTAAGCTGCATGCTGGGAAATAGTGGCCCACAAGGTTCCCATAGAGAACGTGAGCAGTGCGAACAGCCCATCCTTTGCAACAGCACAGAATATTAATAAATGAATGTAATTTACAGCTTGAGAGCCAAATATTTAAGTGCTATGAACAAAGGAAGATACAAGAGACACTTTCTGCCCACAGTAGCTTATTTGTAAGTTAGGAGAGAAGAACAGTAGAGGACAGTATTAAAATATGAAAAAAATTGTTCAAACATTAGGTGCCAGTGTGAGGAAGCGGGTACTGCAGGCCCGAGTCACCCTGGAAGACTAGCCAGGGGAAGGGCCAGTGGGCCTAGAGGTCTACCCGGCTGCTCTTCACACCCCCAGGAACCAGTGACCTTCCAAATGAAACAGTGAGCTCTGCATGACTTTATATTAGCATATTAACAGGAGACAGACATACACTTGGGCCAGCTCACTGGAGGGAGTGCTCTTAAATAAAATTGCACTTGGCTGAACAACCTAGAGTAAAAAAATTACAATGACTCTAAATTACCAAGAGATTGAAGAGGGCCACACAGAGAAACGCTGAGATCATTAAACATAAAAGCCAATGTTTTGATTCCACAGTTAAGTACACACCCCTTCGACCTTCTCATCTGGTGCTCATCTGGCACAACTTCAACACTGGTTACCTCCATGCCCCAAAAGACTCCACATCTGTTTCCCTGTAGCTGAGCAAGGATGAGACAAAACTTGCCCAGGCTGGCTGGCCATGCTGATTCATGACCACTAACTTAGAGAGGGCCGTGGTGCCACTAGCAGTCCAACTACCTCTGCCGAGTCCTCTTCACTCTCCTGGACAACCATCCCATGATCCCACACTTCGCCACTCCTCAGACCTCCACTCTGCCTCCCTCTCCCTCAGTCTGCCTGACGAGCCTACTCCCTGCTGCACTGAAATAACAGAAGCAATCAGAAAAGAACTTGCAAACACCTCAATCACCACCTCGAAGAGTACCTTCTCCCCTATTGCCCAGGGAGTTGTCCTTGCCCCAAGGTCAGGTCCTTGCCCCAACGTCAGCCTCCACATACTTACTGGTTTTCTTCCTACCCACCTGATAGCTCCTTCTCAGAATTCTTCATAAGAGTCTACTAGTCCCCAAACCACCGAGTGCTAGAGTGGCTGTGGCTCAGCCCTTGGGTCTATCTCTTCCCTGTCTGTACTCATTTCTTGGTGATCTCATTCAGTTCAGTAGAAATACCACCTACAGCCAACAACTCCCAAACTCCACACTTACAGACCCAAACGCTTAACCAGCATCTCCGGTTGGGTAGTTAACATGCATCTTAAGCGTTAACTTGTCTACAGCTGGGCTTCTAAAATTCTACCCCTTCCCTGCTTCTCCCCTAGTCTTCCCCATCTTAGTGAATGGCAACCCTCCATTCCACTTGCCCAGAAAAAAAATCTTGGATTCATCCTTGATAAGAATCATCTCCTTTCAAACTACATGTAAATGTCTAGCAAATGCTATCAGTTTTATCTTCAAAATACATCCATGATCCAACCACTTCTCAGTACCTCCACCACAATGGTTCAAGCCACTAAGACATCTTACCATTAAAATAATCTCCTAAGCGACCCCTGGCTTCTGGTCTTACTCCTAAAGTCTATTCTCAATGTGGATGAAAAAGGGTCCACATACTAAACCTGATGAGCTCAGGGGAGGCCTGCATGGCGGGCCTTACAAACTCAGAGACCAAAATTAACCACATAAGGATGGTCTGAACATAAAAATTCCTAACTAAAAGCAAGTCATGGAGGGTAGTCACATCCTGGGCCTGTAGTTTTCTTGACAAAGGTCAATCTTTACCTTAAGTGAGCCCATCTGCTGTCTTTTTGCATATAAGATAACATCTTTGGAATGTCAGAGTAATCCCTTTTTTACCAGACACTTCTGGGCATAGCCCACCTCACCAGAGCACAGGAGACCACAGAACTCCTCATGGGTATCTTGCCCCCCCGCATACCATCTCTATGTGCTGTAAATGCCAATTATTAACTCTCCTGTACCCACAATGTAAAAGAAGTAT